TTTTTTTTTTTTTTGGCCATCAGTTACCAGGAGTAATTAAATTATTTGACAGTGCTAAAATAAGTTTATTTTTACCTATAATCATTAATCTGCTTTAAATATGTGAAAATTTTTATTACTTAATGCCCACTTTTCTTTCAAAAAGTATATCTTTAAGGTCATTTAACTTTATTAATAGGAGTATATTTTTGTATATATGCTTAGATTTTTTTTAAAAAAACAAGTGAACTCAAAAGTATTTTTTCTAAAGCAAACAAAATAGTATTTTCATAGTTGACATATTAGTTGTAAATAAAATAATTATTGAATCCTATGATACTGGTTACCAGTTATAGATGTTTTAATATTTGTTGACTATAATTGAGAAAAAATCTGAATATATACCATTTAACTTTGCCTTTATAGCATCCTTTTATCAAGAATGCAAAACCTGTGTCAATATTAAGAGACCTGATCACAGAGGCCATGGAAATCAAAGCCAAAAGGCACGAGGAGCAGCAGCGAGAACTGGAAGAGGAAGAAGAAAATTCGGTTCGTAATTAGGCTCAGAAAGTTCATATTTTAGATCATCTGGGTCATTTTTAAGTAATTTTATTTTATTTCTTAAAAAAACCCATTACCTAAGTGATCAAATACTAAACTGTTTCTTTGCTGACATTTTGAAAATCAGTGGTTAGTAGGATATAAAGTTGATACACAAGCCTTGATAGGAGCATTTACCTTGGATTTGTGCGTTTGTGTCTTACCACCCAGAACTTTCTCTTTCGTGACCACCAGTTATACTATGAAAATAGTAAGTATTAATGAATATATGGAGGAACGGATCCTTTATTTGTTGAATGTAAGATGGCTCACACTGTGTAAAACGACTGGTAGTTTTCTAAGATATTACATGCAGAATTAGATCTAGTTCTACTCCTGCATACAAACAGACGACCAGTGTCCAGCTATTTCAGCCAGAACTGTGAGGGTCAGACCTGGGCTCTGGCAACCCTCTCAAGGTGGCGTACTTGTTTCTGGAGGCCAGTTAGCAGGTGAGTGATCCTGCAAAGCAGAAAAAGGAGTTTTGATTCTGACTGACCACACTGGGAAGAAAAAGAGTTCCAGGAGGTACCTCCCTCCCCCAAGTCCATCTCCAGGTTTAAATAGAGGGCAAGAGCTGCTGTACCTAAGCAGGGTGGGTCAGGGTGTGGTCCGGCTCTTCTGTGTCTAGGTTAGTTAGGTCTAGAGTTGTCAGACGTCTCCATGTGGGAGATAAGTTCCTCTCCTGAAGTGAGTAAGATTCCTGGGGAAGTTTGTTTCTCCCAGAGATACACAGCTCCTGGTGTCTCTGGAAAACCAGTTTGTCCTTAAAGTGGTGCTTTTGTTGTTCTATAAAAATCAGATATTTTTTGCAATACTCATTTTTTAAAATATTTATTTATTTATTATGTATACAATATTCTGTCTGTGTGTATGTCTGCAGTCCAGAAGAGGGCACCAGATCTCATTACAGATGGTTGTGAGCCACCATGTGGTTGCTGGGAATTGAACTCAGAACCTTTGGAAGAGCAGACAATGCTCTTAACCGCTGAGCCATTTCTCCAGCCCTGCAATACTCATTTTTAAACAAATCAACACAAAATTTGATACCATTTTTGCCTAAAATTGTAGGTATACAGGACTTTCTTGTTCTTATTTAGAATATACTAATTTGTCTGCAATATTCAAGATGTAGCAGATGCAATTTGTAGCTTACTAACTAGGGCACATTCATTGCCATATATTTTATATTATATTATGTATAGTATAATATGCTTTATATTGTAAATAATATATAAATTAATATATAATTTAAACTAATCAGCTGATTTTTTAAAAAAATATGTGTGTGAACTTGTGCTTGTGAGTGTGCACGTGTGTGTGCTTGTGCATTCTACTAAACTCGTGTGGGGGGGGGCATTCAAGAACAATTGCCATGGCAGAGGCAAGGAAGACAGAAGACAGTTTTGCAGGAGTCTGTTCTCTCCTTCCACCGTGGGTCCTGGGAATGGAGCGTGGGTCATCAGGCTTGGCAGCATGTGTCTTTCCCCAAGTTGGTATGGCTTGAGCTATTATACAGGGAGGTGTGTGTGTGTGTGTGTGTGTGTGTGTGTGTGTGTTCATAAGTATTGGAAGAGCTCACTATTTTTGGCAAAGTAACAAGGCAACTATTCTATTCATGGTTCTTTGTGATCATTTAACAGTGAAAAGAGCTGGGTGGTGGTGGCGCACGCCTTTAATCTCAGCACTGGGGAGGCAGAGGCAGGTGGATCTCTGCGAGTTCGAGGCCAGCCTGGTCTACAAGAACTGGTTCCAGGACAGGCTCCAAAGCTACAGAGAAATGCTGTCCCAAAAAAACAAACAAACAAAAAAGTGAAAAGTATGGTGGTAGCATGTTGACTTTGTGAAATTAGGTAAAGCGTAGATTGTACCACTGAGAATTAGTAGGTAAAAACTTTGATAAGTAATTTATCACTGAAGTGCAGATATTTCCTTTGTCATATTGCTAACTTAACTAAAGCATAAGGAATTGAATGGCTATAGAATTTTATATTAAGTGAGATGGTGAACAAACTTACAAATAGTTCTTTATGTCAAGAGTTACACAAATCTTTTTGTTTTTATGCATCTATCAAATTGGCTACTTCTGCTTTCAGCTAAATAGAAATGTTGTATTACTTCATATTAACTGAGAAAGGGCCGGTACAGTTGTACTGAGACACTGGAAAAGCAATGGGAACATTCTGGTAGCTTCTTTATATCTGAACTCCAAACCTTTCGGCTGTAACAATCAACATGTGTGTTTGGTCATGCATGCAGTACTCAAGTGCAGCCTTCATTTCTGTGTCATTATTAGCGCATGGTTTCCTTGGTGGTTACTGCTGCTGCTGCTGCTGCTGCTGCTGCTGCTGCTGCTGCTGCTGCTTGTCTGCTGCCCAAGACCCTGAACAGCGGGAGTGATCACCAGCAAACTTTGTGTTTTAAAATGCATCGTACATGGCCGAGTGCATATGCATTAGTAGAGACTTTTATAAATGTAACTTAAACTTAAAAAAAATTACTTCTAAGAAAGTAACATGAATTAGTAAGGTATATTTATATTTAAGATGAAATTGTTGACGGTAAGTTACAATCCCTTAAAACAGCATTGCTTGTTGCTTCTGATTCCCCCCTGTAAGTATCTCATACTCTGAGCTAATCCCTCATGGTACACACAGAGCTGTGGCAGTAAATCTTGTTTGCAAGTGTAAATGGTGTGACTGCATTCAAATGGTGTGACTACATACAAATGGTGTGACTGCATTCAAATGGTGTGACTACATACAAATGGTGTGCCTACATACAAATGCTGTGACTGCATGCAAATGGTGTGACTGCATGCAAATGCTGTGACTACATACAACTGCTGTGACTGCATGCAAATGGTGTGACTGCATGCAAATACTGTGACTACATACAAATGGTATGACTGCATGCAAATGGTGTGACTGCATACAAATGGTGTGACTGCATGCAAATGGTGTGACTGTGTGCAAATGCTGTGACTGCGTGCAAATGCTGTGACTGCGTGCAAATGCTGTGACTGCGTGCTATTTCTGATAATTGTCTGGGTTTTTCTCAGTGTTCTGCTGCTTTCTAGAAATGGGAGCCGTGAGCGCCACAGCAGGTCTGAAGCTTGGATAGCTTCTTGTGCTGTGTTTTCTTTATCCATAACTTGTAGTGCATCATCCCCAGACTTCCTGCAGCTCCATCCCAAGAGAACCCTTTTCTTCCCCTGTGTAGTACACCTTGTTTTCTGCTTTTGGTTGGTGCTCTCTTTGTCACTTCCTTACTCTTATGACTGTGTCTCAGGACTCTGCCAACACTGTATTTTTTTTTTTTCGGACCTTGTATGTATGACCATGTTTATATCCATCCCATACACTGAATGTGGAGTTCTGAGTTAGAAATAATGTTGCTCAATTTCAGCACCTCTCCCATGTGCTGACGCTAAGTGGGCGCTGTTCTGGCTTACTCGTCCTTTTATCATTCCTGCTGTTTAAAACTTCTTATGATAATGCCGTGGTATGACTTCTCAGGACTTCAGGATGTGAAGCCCTCTGGCTTTTTCAATCTGAAAACGCCCTCATCTCTGTGTGATTTATCTATAATTATTTTGTTGTTGTTGTTTCTTGATAATTCCATTCCCTTCTCTTCCTTTCCCACTGGAATATTTTATTTTTTGTTGACCTTGATACTAAACTTTCAGTGATCTTTCTTTCTATTCCTGTTTCCTCATTTAACTTTTTTATGTTTTCTCATATCAAGTATTTACTATCCAAGTGTCTTCCTCTATCTTTAGGGCCACGTTTTCATCATCATATTTGCTATGACTCCCTGATAGTACATTGTGGCCACCACATGATGTATATGATATTTGAGAGTGATACTAAATGCCCTCTTGTGGCTCCATGTAAAGAACAGAGCTGGTGGAATCATAAACCACACTGTAAGTGACATTGGATCTCATTGCTCTGGGGCCCGATTTGCTCACTTCCCATTGCTTCTTTCCTTGCCTTTCAGGAAGCTGTGCTTACCTGCTTCTAACTCTCAGCCTTTTTCTGGCCCTCTGGTTTTGTTTTGCTGATGTCTCTCACTCCATGTTGCCTCATTGTCACACGGGTGTCCTTTTCCATGTCTTTGCTTTTGAGTCAGAAATGTTTCACAGAAGACTAAATATAAATCCATGTGTTGCTCCTGACATTTTAATTAAGTTAGTTTCATGTGCCTGCCAGTAATTTCTTAGCTATTTTGAGTTTTAAATATTAAACTTGTAATATGGCGATGTTTAATATATCTCTGCAAATAAATCTGTAGAAAACGTCATGTTTTTAATGTTTAAAACCTTTTGAGTACCCATGAGTTTAGTACCATTCTCCTATCTTCTGTCAGGTTGGAAATTAAAGTTTTCCAGGAAGGGAAGGTAAAACTTCTATAGCATTACAAAAACAAACAGACAGGGGCTGGAGAGATGGCTCAGTGGTTAAGAGCACTGCCTGTTCTTCTGAAGGTCCTGAGTTCAATTCCCAGCAACCACATGGTGGCTAAAAACCATCAGTAATGAGATCCGGTGCCCTCTTCTGGCATGCAGGCATATATGCAGGCAGAACACTGAAAACAAACAAAGGAACAAACATGATGGGAAGCCAGTAAGACATTCATACCAAGATTTTAGTGGTAACGGTGCAGGAGATGGCACTGTCTGTGAATGCGAGCCTGGTCTCTCGCAAAACAACCTGTTCTCGGTTATAGAGTAGTACTGCCTTAGCCTGCCCACTGCCCCTGTTCTCCCGGAGAGCAACTGTGGATAATGGCCATGCAAATCGGACTTCACTTCTTCACATCTGTGCTGTGGAGTCCAGGTTGTTTAGCAGCCTCTTACTGTGACTCTCAGCTTACCTGTTTCCTTTGGATATGGCCATTGTGGATTCTTCTGGATTTGCTACACTTTTGGGATTCATTTGGCTGAA